TTCTGCAGCTGCTGCTCCCGTGCGTGCCCCCCGCAGCTCACCCCCGCTCTGTGGGGACTCATTCAAGCTCGCGGAATCCTGCCATCACCTCGGCCCCAGGAGGGGCCTGAGCCTGGAGTTGGGGTGCCATCAGCTTCCACCTGGGGGCAGACCCCGGGGTCCGGGGCCGCAGAGGGGGAGAGCTGCGCCTGGAGGCCCCCCGGCAGCACACCCGGGTGGGAGCCTGGCGGTGAGGCTGCCGTGGGAACAGCCGAGCGCGGAGAGGCTCTCAGCAAACCCGGCGCCAGCTCAGGCCCTGCGTCGCCATGGAAACAGGAGCCCACGGAGGCATCCGGGCTGTGGGATGGGGAAGTGGGTGGCGGGATGGATCGATGGAGGGGCGAGAGACGGGTCTTGGGTGGGTGGGTGTCACCTTCACTGCGGTGAGGGCCTGGGGCGGGCTGTGGGGGGACAGCATGGAGGGTGAGCACCTCTGGATGGGGCTGGGCAGACAGGACTCACGGGCCAGCCCGGTGGGCCACCCTACCTGGACAGAGTGGGCGCTGCCTTCCTGGTAGGGAGGAGCCCAGGACGACGTGTCCCCTCAGTGTTGCCCCGTAGGGACCCACAGCCTGGACCTAATTGAGTTTATCTTTATTCCCGCCTATACTCCGAGGCTTTGGGGTCCTGCCCGGGGAGGAGTTGCCAGGAGGAGGTGTCGGAAGTGTCCGCCAGCCGTGGGGTATCACCCCCCATCTTATCAAATTGGCCAAGACTGGGGCCCCTCAGGAACAAGAACCTCTGTCCCTTGCTGATCCCCGGGGGTACCTGGGGACGGCACGCCGGAACTATGCAGAGACCGCGGGAGAGAGGCGGGCTGCCCGTGCATGGCACAGGGCGAGCGCCAGCCCCCCACCCCGGCCTCTTGCCTCTCTCCCAGCTCAGACCCCTCCCCCAGCTCCCCTTCTTCTCCTCCGGGTCTTCCTCCCACCCAGCAGCTCTCAGGGGCCCTCCCTGCTCTCAGAACTCCCCCCACCACCCGGACAGTCTGCTCACTCCCTTGTCCGTTCCCACCCCCCACCCGGCCCCAGACCCAGAGCTTGTCTCTGGCGCCGACGCCCCTCCAAGACAGGGCAGAGAAGGAGGCTGTGCCAACCCCTCACTGTCTCCCGGACAAATATTTCAGAGGGGCAACATCGGGGGGGGGGGCCACAGGAGCGGAGGACAAAGATTTTGAGCCTTTCTGGGGAGTCCGACCCACCGGAAGGTCACCTCCAGCCGTCACCACCTGTGGTGAGTTTAGCCGCTGGGGGCAATCACTGTCCTTGGTGCTGACCGCCAGGCTGCAGGAACTCTCCCTCCACATGCTCGTCAAAGGGGGCCTCCCTGCACTTCAGGCCAGCAGAGGCCCCGTTGGGGTAAGGCCCCCGCTGCCTGCAAAGGTGCCCAGGACATGGACCGGGCGTGATGGCTGCGTGGCCAGTCCACAACGCTGGAGACGGCCCTGGGTCCTGGGGGCTCAGGCGCTCATGCCATGCCCCCCCCCTCCCTGCACTGCCTCCCTGAGGCCCCGAGCAGGAAGGGGCCGGGCGAGGCCTGACTGGCACAGAGCAATGGAGGAGAGCATGGGAAACGCTCACCCTTGCGTCAGCCCTGCGTGTATCTGAGCACTGCAGAGCTGCGGGACAGTGGGCACCCAGGGAATTAGGGAACCAGTGTGGGTTGTCCATTTGCTCCCCTCTGAGAAGGTGACATCTGAATCCAGACCTGAGTGCCAGGAGCCTGGCGAGGAAGCTGTCATGAAGGCAGGGAGAAGAGAAGGTGCAAAGGGCCAGGGGCATGGAGTGCAGGGGATGGGGCTGGAGCACCCAAGGGGAGAGGGAGGAGCCTGAGGGGGCTGGAGCACCTGAGGGGGAAGGGGAGGAGTCTGAGGGGCCTGGAGCACCTGAGAAGGAGGGGGAGGAGCTTGAGGGAGCTGGAGCACCTAAGGGGGGAGAAGTCTGAGGGGGCTGGAGCACCTGAGGGGGGAGAAGTCTGAGGGGGCTGGAGCACCTGAGGGGGAGGGAGGAGCCTGAGGGAGCTGGAGCACCTGAGGGAGAGAGGGAGGAGCCTGAGGGGGCTGGAGCACCTAAGGGAGAGAGGGAGGAGCCTGAGGGAGCTGGAGCACCTGAGGGGTAGGGGGAGGAGCCTGAGGGGGCTGGAGCACCTGAGGGGGAGGGGGAAGGAGCCTGAGGGGCAGGGAGTGGTGTGGAGGCGGCTCCACTCTCCCTGCAGTGCCGGCCATTTCTCAGGAGGGAAACACACTCCAGCTGGCCTGTCCAGACACTGCTGGGCAACGACAGATGGGGGTGGGTGCTGCTGGGGGGCAGGAGGGTCACTGCGTGGTGGGGTGTGCAGCGCCCCCTGCAGGGCGGAGGTCAGCCTCCCTGCCAGCAGAGACCTGCGGGCTCAGCCGGGAGCCGTGGGCGGCAGAGATGCCATGACTGGCCGTCCCATCTCCGGCCTCCCATACAGGCCAGGCTGGCTCAGGGCAGGCTGTGCCACAAGCCGTGAACCAGACCTGTGTCCAAGCTGAGGCAAGTTGGGGGGGTCTGCAGTGGGGTGTGGCTGTGGCAGAAACAGAGGAGGAGGAGGAAGGAGAGGAAGAGGAGGAGGAGGAAGAGGAGGAGGAGGAAGAGGAGGAGGAGGAAGAGGAGAAGGAGGAAGATGAGGAAGAGGAGGAGTAGGAAGAGGAGGAGGAGGAGGAGGAGGAAGAAAAGGAGGACAAGGAGGAGGAAGAGGAGGACGAGGAGGAGGAAGTGGAGGAGGAGGAAGATGAGGAAGAGGAGGAGGAGGAAGAGGAGGAGGAGGAGGAGGAAGAAAAGGAGGACAAGGAGGAGGAGGAGGAGGAGGAGGCGGAGGAGGAGGAGGCGCCTAGGGCAGGTGGGCTCTCTAGGACACCCAGGAGGGAGGACGGGCAGGCACAGGCAGGGGCCAGGCAGGGCCAGAGGGAAGCCACCACCCTCGGACCAAGCATCTGGGGCAGGGCATGCACAGAGGAGAGGCGGAGTGAGGAGCGGGCTGCGGGCTGGAGTGGCCAGGCAGCCCCTGAAAGAACCGGGAGGACTAGAGAGAGGCACGTCCCCCAAGGCCCCGCAGGGACGTGCACATCCAGGAGACCCACCGGGCACCCCGAAAGTGGGGGAGGCTGGAGAAAGAGGCAGTGGCAGGGTCCCAGCTGTACACACATGTACACCCCCCACATACACACCCACTACACCCCACACCCCGTAGACACACCATGCACCCCTCACGCCCCACCCCATACACCCCCACTCCTCCTCAACCCCACCCCCACCCCCTCACACTCCACACACTCCACACCCCTTCTCACCCTACAAAACTCTATACCCCTCATACCCCACACATCCACACCCACCCACACACCCTCACACCCACCTCACGCAGTCCACACCCCTCCTCACACCTCCACCCCCTCACACGCCCTCACACCCCACACTCCACTCCCCCCTCAAGCCCACCTCCACACCCCTCACACACACCCTCACAGCGACTGCTCCACACCCACCCACACACCCTCACACCCAACACACACCCCATGCACTCCACACCACACACTCCCCTCACACCCCATACACCACACACACACACCCTCACCCCCCTCACCATACGCATATCCTCACCCTCCACACACTATACCGCCCTCACATCCCACACACCCCCATGTACCATACACCCATCACAGCCCCCACACCACATCTGCCCCCACACTCTCACACCACACACACACACGCACAACCACAATACACATACAAAACACCACGCACACCTCCACGAATCCCTCAAACCCGCCGCACACACCCCTCTTGAACCCACAGTGCCACTTGTACCACACACAGTACAATACAACCACCCTACACACACACCACATCCCCCCACATACCCATACGCCACGCCTCCTCACACCCCAGACACATATGCCACACGCTGTATAAGCACACCATAACACAGTTCCACCCTGTGCACCCAATCTGACACCTCTGCCCCACCCCAACACCGCACACAGGGCCCCACACCCCCCCTAGCTGCACTCCCACCAGCCGAGATACACAGGAGACACCAGCCCACAGCCCGCCAGTGTAGGCAGACTCCAGGTTCAGAGGAAAGGCCGGATGGAGAGGGGGTGCCGGGGGACGGGAGGAGGTAACAAAGCACAGACCCCCGGGGGGTGCAGACCCCATAGCAGAGACACACAGGGCAGGGCCAGCCGCTCCGGGCACACGACCCCTGGCCGGAAGAAGCTTGGGGTGGGGGTGGGGTGGTGCCTCCCCCAGGGAACCCCAGCACTTACCCATGTCTGGCTAGTGACCCCCACACTCAGGGCAGGTTGCTGGCTGGGGACGCCCCTCTCAGCCAGACCAGGTCCAGCTCTGGGCGCCCCCACAGGGAGTCAGAACACGGAGTATCTTGGCTCTCCACAGCCCGTCCTGGGGGCTGCAACCCTGGAGAGGCGCCCTGGCTCCAGCCAATGCCAAGGGCGCACCAGGCCTTCTGGGGGTCTGCAAACAGGGAGACGCGGGGGCTGAGACCAAGGGCGCCCCAGGAATGGGCGCCGCAGGCAGAGCCTGAGGAAGGTCCACCCGGGAGACCCTAGGGGACAGGCACACAGGCCGAGCGCCCGCACATGGCCCGTCCGCAGCCCCACCGGCGCGCCCTGAACACTTGCCCCCAGCTCCAGCTCAGAACCCCCCGGATCCCGCACCTCCTCCCGGGGGTCCCGCTTTCATGCACATCCCGCAAGGACACTGCCCCTCACCCCGACTCCAAGCCTGGCCTGTGACCGGCCACGCCCACGCAGAGCACCCGCGCCCGGCTCCCGGCGCCCACCCAGGTCTGCTGCCCGGCAAGCTAAGGCCGGCGGGACCTTCCTCCCTCGCGCCGCGCCCCCCTGCCCCACCCCTGCCAGCCCCTTCCGCCACCCCCCCACCCCCAGCCCGCCTTTCCGGGCTTCGGGAAAGTTTTTTACCAGGTCCCTGCGCGGGGGAACCCGGGGGTTGCTCCAGCTGCCCCCTTCCCCGGCCCGGCTCCCGCGGAGGCGCAAGGTCGCGGCCGGCGGTCCCCTGCCCGCTCGGAGCCGAGGGGGTGGCCGCGGCGGCTGTCATCCTGTCATCGGGCTGGGGCGGGGGCTGGAGACGAGCCGCCGCCGCCCAGGGGTCACCGTGACGCCGCCGGGGAGCGCCGGGAGCCTCGGGATGGGCTCCGGGGCGGCGGCCGCGGGGATCTGTCCGTTCAGCACCGGCGCGCCGGGCGCGGGGCCCGCGGCGGGGCGCCCCGGCGGGGTGGCGAGGGGCAGTCTGCGAGCGTGGGGGCCCCGCGGCCACCTGTGAGCCTCCCGCAACTGCCGCGGAGCCGCCTGGGGTCCGCCCGCCCGGCGGCACGCGCACACACACACACGCACACACACGCGCGCACACACACACGCGCACACACACGGGCGCGCACACTGGCACCCGCACCCGCAGCGGCGATGCCAGCCGGCAGGTTGGGGAAGTTTGCCGCCGGCCTCGGCCGCGGGCCCCCGTGCCACCAGGTAAGCGCTCCCGGGACGCAGCCGCCCCGGCCGGGCAGCGCCGCCGGCCAGGCAGGGAGCCACGCACGCGGCTCCGGGGCACCGCGCCAGGCGGGCGGGGAGGCGCGGGGCGCGCGCGCGGGTGAGGGGCTGCGGGCCGACGCGGGGGCCGGGGCCGGGAGGGGGCCGGCCCGCCCCCCTTTCCCTCGGGCTCCCCAGGACGGATTTCCCCGCCCCCTCCCCAGCCCCGCGCCCCGCGCCCCGCGCCCCGCGCCCGGCTGGCCCAGCCCTGCCCATCCGCGTCCGCAGCCGGGTCCGCCTGTCTGCGGCGAGCGGGCGGGGGCGTCTTCTCGGCCCGCCCACCCGCAGGGTCGGCTCGCGGCCCCCCACCCCCGGCTCCGAGCCAGGGACACCTCCCCACCCACCCGCCACCCCCGGAGCCAGCTCCGCAAGCAGCGGGGGTGGGGGCCGCGTGGGTGCAGCTGCGCTCTCGGAGGGCACCGTCCGTGCCACCCCATCCTTTCCTTGGGAGAGAGCACCCCCGCCCCCACCCGCCGCACCCCGGGCCGGCGTCCTGCAGCGCCCAGAGGTCTGGAACGCCTGGGGACGGGGCGGGGAGGAGGCGGCGGAGGGGCGCTCCTGGGGGACGGGCGGGGCCCCCTGCACCCGTGCGCCCTTGCACCCCGCGCTCCTCCTCAACGCGGTCCCTCCCGCCTCCAGGTGTAGCGCCCCGGCGCGGCGCGGGCGGCCCCAGCATGACCGGCCAGAGCCTGTGGGACGTGTCCGGGGCCAGCGTCGTCGAGGACGGCGAGATCCGCGTGAACGTGGGCGGCTTCAAGCGGCGGCTGCCGTCCCGCGCGCTGCTGCGCTTCCCCGAGACGCGCCTGGGCCGCCTGCTGCTGTGCCGCTCGCGCGAGGCCGTCCTGGAGCTGTGCGACGACTACGACGAGGCCCAGCGCGAGTTCTACTTCGACCGCAACCCCGAGCTCTTCCCCTACGTGCTGCACTTCTACCACACGGGCAAGCTGCACGTCATGGCCGAGCTGTGCGTGTTCTCCTTCAGCCAGGAGATCGAGTACTGGGGCATCAACGAGTTCTTCATCGACTCCTGCTGCAGCTACAGCTACCACGGGCGCAAGGTGGAGCCCGAGCAGGAGAAGTGGGACGAGCAGAGCGACCAGGAGAGCACCACGTCCTCGCTGGACGAGATCCTGGCCTTCTACCACGACGCCTCCAAGTTCGACGGGCAGCCGCTGGGCAACTTCCGCCGGCAGCTCTGGCTGGCGCTGGACAACCCGGGCTACTCGGTGCTCAGCCGCGTCTTCAGCGTCCTGTCCATCCTGGTGGTCCTGGGCTCCATCATCACCATGTGTCTCAACAGCCTGCCCGACTTCCAGATCCAGGACAGCCAGGGCCAGCCCGGCGAGGACCCCCGCTTCGAGATCGTGGAGCACTTTGGCATCGCCTGGTTCACCTTCGAGCTGGTGGCCCGGTTCGCCGTGGCGCCCGACTTCCTCCAGTTCTTCCGCAACGCCCTGAACCTCATCGACCTCATGTCCATCGTGCCCTTCTACATCACGCTGGTGGTGAACCTGGTGGTGGAGAGCACGCCGGCCCTGGCCAACCTGGGCCGCGTGGCGCAGGTGCTGCGTCTGATGCGCATCTTTCGCATCCTGAAGCTGGCCCGGCACTCCACGGGCCTCCGCTCGCTGGGCGCCACGCTCAAGTACAGCTACAAGGAGGTGGGGCTGCTCCTGCTCTACCTGTCCGTGGGCATCTCCATCTTCTCCGTGGTGGCCTACACCATCGAGAAGGAGGAGAACGAGGGCCTGGCCACCATCCCGGCCTGCTGGTGGTGGGCCACCGTCAGCATGACCACCGTGGGCTACGGGGACGTGGTCCCCGGGAGCACGGCGGGGAAGCTGACCGCCTCCGCCTGCATCCTGGCGGGCATCCTGGTGGTGGTGCTGCCCATCACCCTCATCTTCAACAAGTTCTCCCACTTCTACCGGCGCCAGAAGCAGCTGGAGAGCGCCATGCGCAGCTGTGACTTTGGGGACGGCATGAAGGAGGTCCCGTCCGTCAACCTGAGGGACTACTACGCCCATAAGGTGAAGTCACTCATGGCAAGCCTGACAAACATGAGCAGGAGCTCGCCGAGCGAGCTGAGTCTGGACGATTCCCTCCACTAGGCGCCAGGGCGCGCCGGCTTGTCATCGAGTTGTGGGGCGGCCTCAGCACCCGGCGGGCTGGTGGCCTCCAGAGTTAGGCCCGGCCCCGAAGTGGGGAGCTGCCGCGTGGGACCGGCACCCCAGGGTGCGTTTCAGCACTGCGGATCCCTTTGAGGGAGTGGGTGTGCCTGAGCCCGCGGTGCCACGACGCCCTCGTGCGTCCACTGCTCCCCTTGGCCACGGGGCGGGGAGCGCCCGGAATGCTGACCCCGCCGTCCGCTGTGCCCTTGGCTCTCGTGCTCGTGGTCCAGTCCTGTCTGTGAGATGTTCGTGCTCCCAGTTTCCAGGTTGTCTCGTGAGTTCTGTACAAAATAGTCTCCCCTACTAGTCTGTCCGGGGGCTGGCATGCCCCGCTGAGTCTGCGAGAATCTGAGGTGTTCACTTGCCGTCGCCGTGTGGACTCGCCATCTCCCTCCCGCCATCTCTGCTTCCTTTCTCTGTGATATCTCAGCAGAGGCCGGGCGGTGCAGTGAGCAGGGCGGCTCCGTCTGGGAGCGTCCGGACGAGTGAGCCGTGGCTTGGGCTGATGTTCCTCCTGTGAACGTCACTCTGTAGGGATGGTGACTCGCCTCAACAGGTGGCGAACACTGGCTCTTTTGTCATTTTTCCCTCCTGATGACAAATGCAGTGGCGGCAGGGCCGGAAGTCAGAGGCCGCCTGAAGGGTGTGTCTGTGTCGCTGAAATGTTCCGCAGGACATTTATTTCTGGCTGAGGTTCTTGGTCTGGGCCCTGTCACAAATGTGGCTGTCTTTGATATTTGCATGTTCTTGAAATATTTCTTTTTCTGAGATGTTTGGAAACAAGGTCATGTTGTCTCTCTCTCTCTCTCTTTCTCTCTCTCTCTCTGGAAAGGGGTTTGCTGTTGTGCACTGTCTTCCTGGGGCAGGGTGAGCCTGGGTCCCTGGTGAGGGCAGGGCCCTGCTCTGGGAGGTCCAAGCTTCCCAGCACAGTCCGCTGGATCATTCTGCTGCGAGGGCGTGGTACTCTGGCTGCCTGGAGTGGGGGTGCCCCAGTGAGTCGGGGGTGTGGAAGTGTGTACTCCAACACAGACATGCCTGCAGGGGGAGTGGAGAGGCTGGTTTCCCTAGCCCCTGCCTTGGCCTGGGGGTGAGGGTGTGGGAAGGGGTGAGGAGGAAGGCGTGAGGGTGACCGAGCCTCCGGTTGCCACTTTGCCTCAATCACCAGCTGCCCACTCTGAGGAGCTCAGCGTGAGTTAAAAACTCTTTCGACATCGAAACCTGGGCTGAAGGCGGAGTGCTCTTCTCCCAGACGTGCTCCCTCCTCTTGCTCTGCTCACTGGCGCCGAGGTGGGGCTGGGCACCTGGGTCCCTCTGTGCAGTGTCACCCCTACGGCTCCCAGGACTACTGAGAGAGTCTGCGAAGATTTTGGGGACTCAGGGGCACCATGTGGGGGTGGGCCCAGCTGCTGAGTCCCTCTGGGCAGGTCCACGCTGCTGTGTCCGAGTCAGTGGGGCTCACTGAGGGGTCTGGCCGGATGCTCCATGCAAGATGGCAGTCATGATGCCACCGTCGGCCCTGGGGGTGGCGGCTGAGATCCATCCATGCATGCAGGGAGGCAGCTGCCCTTCCCCGGTGACCAGCACTTTGCAGCCCACACAGCTCCCCGCAGCCTCAGGGAAGGCGGGAGAGCCTGGGGTCAGGGGCTCGGGGGATTTTTCCAGGATGTGCACGGGGAGTGAGTCCTGGATCTGGCTGGTGTGCCCAGTGCCAGAAGACGGAGGGTTTCCACAGCTGTGGGTCCGTGCAGGAGAGGGCGGGCACATGGACGGGGGCGCTGAAGGACGGTGCTGCCCCAATGTCCCCCCTTCCCCCCAGAGGGAGCAGGGCTGCAGGCCTCAGCGGCTCTCGCCAGTACTTCTCTGCAAGGAGCAGGAGTGAGTCGGCCAATCCTGGGGCTGGAGGCCTGCGCCGATGGGGGAAGACTCGCGTTTACCTGGTGCCTTTCCTGGGTGGCGGGCGAATCCCAAAGTGCTTCTGAGACTGTCTTTTACTCTCCTGTCCTTGCACACACTTGTCTCATGTGTCCCCACTTGGGTGGCCACTTCTGGGCAGGAGCCTGTCCCACCGTGGTCACTTCCGGGCAGGAACATGTCACCACAGCATCTGGTTCTCCAGGCACTGTTTCCGGTCCAGAGTGGCGTGTGCTGGAGGCGATTCCCACAGAAGGATGGAGACTGAAGGAGCCGGGGAGCAAGGCCCCCTCCCGCCTTCCGCCAGGGACCACGGCAGCGGCGGCACCAGCTTCCCCTGTGCTCAGTAGGACCCTAACAGCGCCGGTCACGTCCCACGAGGTGGCTGTGTGGCTCAGCCCAGAGGCCAAGTGGGCAGCGGTTGGTGACTTTCTGCTCTTTCTGGAGTCCAGAATCTGAGTGCAAGGTGACCCTTTGGCCTCCAGACTGTCAGACTGACCTCTGACGCTCCTGGTCATTGCTTGCTGCTGTTGGCTGGACACCAGCCTCACCGCCACTGGTTGATGACGGAGGTCACTTTCCACGTCCGTCCCTGGGTCAACGTGTCCAGGGGCCGGCTACTCTCACTGACCTGGCGCCCGGCTTTCCCGCATGATGTCATGTTTCCTGCCAACCCCCACCTTCGTCTTGGTTCTGCTCGTAGAAGAGGCACGTGGTAACTCGGGCCTGATCCGCCACCCCGACGGACGGCAGTAATTGATATTCAACATTGGGCTTTGTTACGGCTCCTTATCTTAGTGCTCGAATAATTGCACTACCTGCGAATTCCTCCCCGTTGCCAGGAAAAGTGATTTGTTCTGCACGTCGGGAGTGCGGTGATCTGCGCGGGCCGCGTGTTATCTGCCTGCAGGCTTCACGGGTGTTCCGTGTATGTTGGAGCAGCATGGCTTGTTACAGAGCTGTAATTTTGAAAATTGAGAGCGCTGTATTTGTGGTGTCGGCTCTACTGCTCATTACCACACTTCTCCGTGAATGGGGGAGCAGCCCGCACCCCTGTGCCTGTGGGCCCAGACCCTCCTCCTCCTCCTCCTTGAGAGGGGCTTCAGGATGAGGCGAGGGAAAACCCTGCTGCCCCATGAAGGTGCTTCGGGGAGGCAGCGAGTGGTCAGCATGGGGGGCGGTGAGGGTGGGCTGGTCTGTGTCGGCTGGGAGTCGGTGTCCCGCAGGGGCAGCTCTGCAGAAGGAAGAGGCGTCTGATGTCAGGGCCCCGGGGACAGCCCCCTGCAGGGCGCCAAACTCCCCATCCCAGGTGCCCGCTGGCTGGGACACTTTCCCGCTCCCTGGCGGTGACCTGGGGGGTGGGGGATGGGGGCCGAGCATGCTGGCTGTGACCGTGGGTACCCCTGTGGGGGGTCGGCCACCCTCTCAGATCCTGAGTAGGGCTGTGGGCGGCTGCTGGGCGGACGGGGCAGCAGCTGGGTGGACAGGACTCTGCTCCCAGTCCTGCAGTTGCTTCGGGGCTGAGCCATACAGCCCACAGAGCTGCAGCAGGCAGGCAAGATGAGCTCATGCAGAGTGGGCGCACCTCTCCTCCCGGTGCACCCCTCAATCCCAGCACACTCATTCATCTCAGTGCACCCCTCAATCCCGGCATGCCCCCTCAATCCCGGCACAGCCCTCAATCCTGATGCACCCCTCAATCCCGGCTCACCCTGGCAGGGCCCAGCGCCCTGAAGCAGGATCTCGTCCTGCTCCCCGGAAGCAGAGTGGACATGCCGTCCACAGTCCAGCTTGCAGCTGCATGCCCTTTGCTCTGACCACACTGGGGCAGGCCTGGGCCAGAGCGGCGACCCCCCCCCCCGACCTCCGCCCCAGCCTGAATCAGCACATGTCTGACCCCCACGAGATGAGGCCTGAGGTCGCAGCCACGAGCAGGCCAGGAGAGGGCCGCAGAGGGCTGCAGGGAGGCCAGCAGGGACTGGGTGGATGGCTTGTCACGGAGAGACACCCAGCCGAGGGAAGCGTGGCCGCAGAGTCTCAGAGAGGGGGGACAGGAAGGTTGAGAGGGAGTGAGGGGAGGGGGCAGGGGGCGAGTGCTGTGAGTACTCGGGGTTCCAGGCCCTGCTCTTCCCGCCCGGCTCTCCTCCAGGCACGTGCCCTTGCTTCGTCTGTGGGGGCGGGGCTGGCCAGAGTCCCTGTTCTCCAGGCGGCATCTGGGGGGCTCTGCTCTTCCAGCCCATCATCTGCATCACGCCCACGTTGGGTTCTTCAGAGCTGCCAGCTGGCTGGAGACTCCACCAGAATGCAGGTCGTCCCCGAAGTCCCGAAGTCTTGGCCTAGCCAGCAGAGTCCTCACCCTCACACCTGCCCTGCCGCCTCCTCCTCACGGGTGTTCAGGGGAGCACTGTGCTCTGGGTCTCAGGGACCCCGCTTCCTCCCGGTTCCTCACCGTCTCCTAACCGGGGGAGAATGAGCACCCCAGGTCCTGCTCATGGTTGAGGCGACCCAGCGGGCCCCATGCACCCCAGTGCAGGCTCAGACCCTGTGGGTTCCTGCTGCCCCCACGCGGGGCGGGGGGGTGGCGGCGAGGCATGGGCCCCAGGGCGGTGATGTCCAGGAGGTGACTCGGCCGTTCCAACGGTCTCCAGACAGCTGAGCAGCACAGCCTGGCTCTGGGGCGAGACCGGGGGACCCAAGAGAAGGGAACTGGGGTTCTTGGAGGTTTTTTTCCACTCGAAACTCTTTCTGGTTGCCGACATCTCCAGACATTTCAAGCCTCCCGAGCTATTTTCAGACCTACTATGAAAAGCACTGAGGTGTTAGCAGCCGCCAGCCCTCTCAGCCGCTTCCTAAGCGCGGGGCCTGCGTGACTCACTCCTGAGCCATCGGCTTCAGAGGCTTCTGGCGAGCTCGGCAGGGCTACGCGCCGGGACTCCCCTGGAAGCCCAGCCGCGAGAGTCCCAGCCCTTGTGTGCCGGTCACTGAGTGGGTCACGTGTGCCCACGGACACCGTCCTGGGCTGAGCCTGCTTTTCTCCAGAGCGTGTGTGCCTGTGTGTCGGAGCGAGCAAGTGTGAGCGTGTTTGAATGTGTGCGTGCATGGGCAATTCGAGCACATGGCAGAAGTGTGTTGTGTGTGCATGTGACTGTGTCATGTGTATGTATATACTGCATGCGTGAGTGTGTGTGCACGAGTGGAAGTGCCATCTGCATACGTCTATGACTGTGCACGAGGGTGTTTGCACGCACGAGTATAAACGCACACGCGTGTGTTTGTGACGATGTGCATGAGAGCGCATGTGTGCATGCATGGCCGTACACGTGTATGCATGTGTGTGAATGTGTGTATGTGCAGGGGTGCCTGTGTGTGTGTGTCCATGACTGTATCTGTGTGCATGCGCCTCTGTGCATGAGTAGGAGTGTATGGGTGTGTGTGGCTGAGGGTATCTGTGTGCCCGTGTGCATCCGTGCCCGAGT